TCCCTGCCCAGGTCTGCTTCTGCAGGCTAGGAGCCCCTCCACAGGGAACATGCCAGCCAGACACTTTTCAGCTTGTAAACTGTTATTAAGAAGCTAATAAACTTGATTTCCCAGAACTCTGCCCCGAGGCACCCTTCCCCAGGAAGATGCTAGCCGCAGACACAAACGGGTACCAGGGATTCAGGGCACTTAGGCACAGGACGATCCAAGTTGTGACCATAGCAGGTGAACCTTCAGGGCCACCTGCCCAACACTCTCCATCTCACTTTGGGGCAGTATGGGGATCTCGTGTTAAAGAATGAGGTGTGCTGGCCACCAGAGTCAGGGCTCACCTGTGGCCTGGCTACTCTGTCACGGTTCGTCTGCTATGAGATAGGATGACATGACACTCCTTACAAGGACAGCAGACTCTGCACACACAATGCCTGATGTATAACCAGTAGCTAGCTGGCGGCTTTCCCCCCTTATCTGAGCTTTACCGTCACGGCCCACGTGGTCATGTGTCAGGGCTCTTCCCGACAGGTGGGAAAACAAAATCAAGGTTCAACAATATTAAATTACAGATCTAGATCCCACAGTCAGCAAATGGTGAAGCCGCAGCCTGCTAGGGTCCTACTTGTTTGTTCCTTTGGGTTTTCCTGACAGGGTTTCTCTGGGTAGCCCTGGCTAACCTGGAACTCACTCTGTAGCCCAGGCTGGCTTCCAACTCACAGAGATGCACCTGCCTCTGCCTCCTGAGTGTTGGGATTAAAAGCAAGCGCCTCCGCCATCCAGCAAGTTTTTAATTTTTTTTAAAGATTTACTTTTTTTTCTTTCTTTCTTTCTGTGTGTGTGTGTACAGGTAGGTATTTTACCTGCGTGTATATCTGGACACCAGATACACACAAAGCCTGTGGAGACCAGGCAAAAGTGTTGGGTCCCCTGGAAATAGAATTATAGTCAGTTGCAAGCCACCATGGGCATGCTGGGAATTGAATCCACATCTTCTGCAAGAGCAGCCGGCGCTCTTCACTCTGCCCGCTTTTCAACATGAGGCGCCGGGCAGCAAAAGGACTTGTCTGGAGTGGCAGCTCACTCTTATGTAGACTGAGTGCAAGGACCTTGGGCTCATGAACCCCTCCCCCACCATCCAGTGCAGGTGCCTGGGAGTGGGAACACCTACTGCTTGGGGTGTACTTCTCGGCTTATCGGGCCTTTCACAGACATTATCTCATTAACCTAACCGAGGCGGGGCCGAGGAGGCGAGGCGGGGCCGAGGAGGCGAGGCGGGGCCGAGGAGGCGAGGCGGGGCCGAGGAGGCGAGGCGGGGCCGAGGAGGCGAGGCGGGGCCGAGGAGGCGAGGCGGGGCCGAGGAGGAGGTGGCCGTCATTATGCCGCCTGGCCCCCTGCCTGATAAAAGTCCCTTAGGGCCCAGCTGAGCCTTCAGTTTCCAGACCTGCTTCTACCCAAAATCCCAGGGCACGTTCCCACCCTTCAGGGACCCACCTGGAGAAGGAAGAGGCACCCTGTTCTCCCCCACACTAGCTGTGATTCAGTGGACACCTATTAAGGCAGAGGAGCAGGGCTCCATATCACACCCCCAGCCCCAAGGGGTTCTCCGCCCCAGACAGCTCTTTTTGGGGTTCAGAAGATCTGGACGTGCTTTCCAATCTGACACCCCAGTAGCCTACAAGGCAGGGTCTCTCCAGTGATGTAAATCCATGCCATGCACAGCAACCTCTCCAAACACAAGCAATCTCAGGAGTGTGAAGTCGGCTCCCTTCAGGGTCCCCACCACAGGCACAACCAGGCTGAGGAACCCCCACCTCATAACCCTCCACTGCACATCTGGAGAAACTGAGGCAAAGACTACACACCGCGCGCCTCACAGACCCGAGTCCGCTGGCCTCGCCTCCTGGTCCTCGAGCTTGGGATCACCTGCCCCTCTGGCCAACCATGGTGTCCTATCTCACACCCTGCCAGCACTCACTTGGCCAAACCACTATGCAGGGTGGGGGGGGGAGGTGGGCAGGGGGTGGGGCACAGACAGAAACTGCCTTCCACAGCTTTTGAACCCCAAATGCTTGTACCCGAGAGGCTGACTAAAATCTGTTCAAGGGCGGTAACACCCAGCAACTCCCCACAGTTCCCAGAAAATGTGGAAAAGGTTGTTCCTCGTGTGTGTCTGCCAGGGACACTTGGGGACATCCTAGGAAACCCTCCATTCTTCCCACAGCAGGGCAGGGAAGCTGGCTCTTCCAGTGAGGCTGCCTGTGTGCCAAGAGCTGCCCGCCCTGGCAGTGTCCCTGTCCCAGGCCTGTGCTGGCTGCTGAGGTCAGCCAGCACTCAAGAGTGCTGAGTCTGGTCCCTCCTCCCCCAGCCTGAGTTGGGTAGGAAACTAGGAGCTGCTCCCAGCAGATGGTGAGGTCACTTTGGAAATCCCCTCAGGCAATGGGGCAATACCTAGGCAGGATCCCAGAGTCTCCAGGGACCTGCAGGATGGGGGTGGGAAGTTGCTGCTGGGAGAATACACCCTCTCCCAGCTCCCATATGCGAGCTGTGTGAGGGAACCCAGGCCCAGAGCATAAAACCACAAGACAGGCACACACACTTGCAGCCCTGTGATTTCTTCCTGCTGTCATCGGGTGCCTCTCTGGGACACAGTTTATACAAGCAACGGAGCTTGTGAGATGGCTCAGCATTGAAGAGCACTGGCTGCTGTCCAGAGAACCTGGATTCAGTTCCCAGCACCCACATGGCGGCTCACAACCATCTGTAAGCCCAGTTATAGGGGATCCAACACCTTCTTCCGGCTTCAGCAAGCATCAAGCATACACACGCTGAACAGACATACCTTCAGGAAACACTACACACACACACACACACACACACACATGCGCGCACACACTCACACGCATTCACACACACACACGAATAAGGCACTGTTCATAGTTCAGGTCACAGGAGAGGTATCAGTGAGCCCAAAGGACTGAGACCCAATGTTCTCCCTAAGCTTCTTGATGTGATTCATCCTTACTCTTTCAGACTCCTCCTTCCCAGGCAGCAGAGATGTGGGGGCAGGGGTCACTGACCGGAATGAGCGAGGTTTGGGGTGGGGGTGGGTGGCTTTGAGGAAGTCTGGGTGTTTAGTTTTCTGCCTTCAGAGGCACATACTTGGGGGGGAACTACTACAGTTATATCTAGTTATAAAGGTCTGGTCCACACCTCCATTCCCAGAAAGCTGGGAGCCAGGAGCCCAACACAGGTTTTTGGTCACCCTTGGGGTTCTGTTAGGATGGCTTTAACAGCTTTTATCCTTCTCTGCCACTGAGCAAATGCATCAGGGCCGGAGCCCACCCAGACCAGGATTTGCAAACGTCACAGAGGCAACCTGGCAGGAAAGATCAGGTAGCCACGAGGAATTAGGAGATCCGTTATTCCCTGGATGATGTTTTCCTGGTGTAAACAGCCAGGAGAGTTAGTTCTGTGTTCAGAAGGAAAATTCCAGTGGGTCACATGGTATCACCCATCCATGAGGCCTCAGCTTGACCAGCTTTGGGAACTCTGTGGGAACAGGGCTTGGTCTCCAGGGATATGTGAGCTCAAGGGTTACTCTGGCTCACCCTGGGCTTACCCTGTGTGGGAAGCTACCCTGGGTGAAGTGCTCCAGGCCTGTGCTCTGAGAAGCCGCCCCCCTCCCAGCTCACCCCCCCCATGGGGCCAGGAGCCAGCAGGCACCATTCAGGACACTCTCCAGGGCAGACAGCCCTCACACCTCCTTACCTCCCTCCCTCCCATCTGTTTTAGCTGTTTTAGATCCATCCTAGCTCTTCCCATAGCCCCTGGAGAAACTGAGGCAGGGAGAGGAAGTCACAAGCAGTAGGCTGAAGGACCCAGTTACAGTATGGTTTCTCAATATTGACTTTTGGGGGGCCCCAATTCTGTGCATTGTAGGTGGATCCTAGGTCTCATCCAACATGCTAGCAACAACATGTGTTTCCTATCTGATTAGTGGAAGACTAATACCCTTAGCAGGCAAAAGAGCCCCTATTGAGAGCCCCTGTTCAAAACCAAGTTTCTCATCTCCCAGACCTACAGTAGAGTCACAACCGCACAACACAGCGGCTGAGGACTATTCCACCGGCAGATCTCTCTCTCTCTCTCTCTCTCTCTCTCTCTCTCTCTCTCTCTCTCTCTCTCACACACACACACACACACACACACACACACACAGAGGAACTCCCAACCTAGCAGGTTGAGAAACAGCTGCCATTCCACTTGTGGGGCCAGCAATTTCTCAGATACACATCACCTTCGCTCTGTAAGCCCCAACCGTACAGACTCCCAGCTCAGTGTTTCCTGGAGCTGGGTCAAGGCATGGACCTGGATTCTCTGTGTGCCCTGGGGTGGAGATAGAGGCCTGGGCCCTACAGGTCCTAGAGCTCCCTACCCTTTAACCCAATGAGCAGAAACACCATTCGGGGGCCCAACTCCCCAAACCCTTCGGTCCATAAACCAGGATTATTCCCGAGTACAATTTCTGCACTTCGGTCCACTCTGGTGGTGTGAACCTACCCCCCCCCCGCACCTGTTTCCACCTCGGAGACGCTCCACGCACAAACTTCAGCCCCGGGCTCCGAGTTCACCCGGGAGAAAGTGGAGCGGAGCCTTAAGAAGGTCTAAAAGGGATTTTTGGGTGGAAGGCGGGGCCGCAGGTTCCAACACAAGGCGGTGCCCTCTTTCTTCCCGGGCTTTTAAACTTTAGCGCAAACCACGCGCCGGGTCATCTGGTGACCGTACCCCGGGGAAGCCCTCAGGCGCCCTGGTCGCGGTGAGGCCGAAGATCTGCGGGTGGGATCCAGCAGCCCAGCGGGCACAGAGGGCAGCCTCGGCCTCCAGGGCGCTCCGCAGGGCGCGCAGCCCCCGACCCTCCCCGCGGCCGTCACGGGCAGCTCCGGGACTCCCCAGACACCGCGGCCTAGTGGCCCCGAGCTCCGGCGCGCCCAGTGGCCTTTGCTCACCTCTCAGAGTCCCCTCGTCCCGGGAAGCCGCTGCGATCTGAGCGGGCAGCACGGCGGGGTGGTGGCTCCACCGAGGCTGGGCGCCGGCGCTCCGCCTCTTCCCTACCTGCGCGAGGGCGCAGGGGCGGGACCTGGGGGTGGTGGGCGGGACCTGGCCGGGCGTGGCTTCTTACGTGGGCGGGGCTTCAGATGGGCGGGGTCGACCCACTGCTTCAGCCTTGGAGGGCCTCCTGGGTTGTTAGGCTCTCTGTGCTCCACTCAAGGCCACGTGTAAGCACTTGCCTAGCGTACAGATCTTAGGTTCGACCCCCATCAACACACACACACCAAACAAAAACCACCCAATCTCCCTTCTCCTCTCGCTGGACCAGGCTCCTTCCACTCCAGCAGCCTCTGCTTGCATCCTTTCCAGCTCCCCCCTCCAGGGAAACTGATTTTCTCTGCCTGCTACTGCTCCTCTCTGCCCTAGAACCACCTCTCTTCAGGCCTTCGAGACCAGACCAGGTCTTTCTGGAAGCTGAGTCTTGTCCCCTTAACCACTCCAGCACTAACAGAGCAGTTAGAAGGGGGCTAAAGTGTGCAGGGGCTGACCCAGGCTGCCAGTCAGTTCTGAGTACTCTTGGGCCAGAGTGGGTGTTGCTCTGCAGCCAGGACACAGGCTTCCTGCTGGGGCTGGAACTTGGCTCACACAAGAGCTTGTTGCAGCAGAGGAGGAAAGGCCCCCACATCTTGGAATAGTGGGTGGCCCAGGTCCAGGCCTTAGGCATTCTAGCCTAGTCATGACTGACCGAGTAGCAACACATGCTAGGCCTTCTGGGTTGCTTTATTGGCTATAGCGAGAAAGAAGTATAAACAATTAAAGCTAACAGGAAGCTGGGGAGGGGGTTCAAATCCTGACCTGCACCCGACTCACCTCTGTGGCCTTAAACAACTCCCCAAGCTTCCTGGGCCTCAGCTTCGCCCACCCTGTCTGAGTGAGTGGGGGTAGCAACAGGAAGGCCTGTAGGGCCAGGGGCTCTAACTCGCAGCTGCTGTTGTGTTTGCTATTATTAGCCGTGTTGAGGGCAGGACCTCCCTCAGTTTGCCCCACAGCCTACATCTTAGCCACACTTTCTTCTTTATCTCCCCTCTGGACCCAGAAGCCCCTCAGTTCTACACCCTGAGAGGCCGTCCCTTGTGATGGTCTTACCCACTTCCAAGTAGGGTACCGGTCTTCATTTTCATGTCCCTGGTCCTGGGCTAAGGACAAAATGTATGACACCCTGTCCAACACTCCTATGCACCGACCTAGCAGCACACACAGGATCGGTCCAGCCCAGCTGCGGGAAGGACAAGGGCACGGGGTCCCCTTCTTCAGGCTCCAAGGGTAGAGAGTGAAGGAACTGAAGGGGGCAGATCATCTTGGCAGCAGAGCATGCACACCCTGAGTCAAAGCACTGGGGACGCGGAGGTGAGTTCGAGGCCAGCCTGGTAATTCCAGGACAGCCAGGGCTACACAGAGAAACCCTGTCACTGGGAAAGGGAGAGAGAGGGAGAGGGAGAGGGAAGGAGGGAGGGAGGGAGGGAAGGAGGAGGGAGGCGCAGGGCAGGCAGAGGCAGGGGCTTCCTGGCTGGGCTGCAGCTGGCCTCCATCTTTGGTTGTTCTGTGCTGTCGTGATCACCCGGTCACGTGGCTCGCAGTGCCCTGTGCCCAGATCCACTCCAAACTGCCTTGGGAGCCGCGGGCCCCTGGATATCACTGCTGGTCTCACTTCCGGAACCTCCTCCTGGCTGAGCCCTGTCACAGCCTGGGCAGCAGAAGGAGCAAGGCGGAAGGGAGCTGCGACCTCATGACCCTGGAGAGCCTGTCTCCTTTTTGATCTATTTACGCGGTTTCTGAAACTTAGGGCAGGAGGAATGCTCTTGCAGAGACCCAGGTTCAGTTCCCAGCTCGCACGTGGGGGATTGCAGACCCCTGTACATCTCCTGGGAGGGCTGAAGCTCCCATCTCACCTCCACAAGCTCGCACACCATACATGCATATGTGCAGGGCAAACACTTCCACGCATGAAAACAAACATTAAAAACAATAAACTAAAAAGTGAGCGGACGTGTGTGTGTGCTTGCCTGAGTTTATGCGCACCGTGTGTGTGTGTGTGTGTGTGTGTGTGTGTGTGTGTGTGTGTGTGTTTGCATGAGTTTCCGTGTGCCACGTGCTTGGGGAAGGGCATGAGAGCCCTTGGAGCTTGAGCTCGCTCATGTTATCTGGGATGACAAGTTTCTGCTCCCCAGTCGCCAGCCACCGATAGGCACGGCAGGAGCAAAAGCAGATAATTATGTAGATTAACAGATAGTTACCTATAATAGTCAAAACTTACAGCTAGGTTAGTTAGGTTTTCTAGATATATAGAGATGTATTTGAGATGGGTAAATATTCTTCAAACCTTCCAAAGACCTACAAAATATGGCATTTAAAATGGTTTAGGTGAGACATAAATGCTCCTGGCAACACCACCTGCGTCAAAAAGGAAGATGGACATTAAAGAAACTGGTTATGGAGTTTACATCCAATATGGCAAGACTAGCCATTTGGACAAGATACTGCCCTTGTTTGGACTGTTTGACTTTATGCTGTATGAACTGGACATGTAGGACCCACAGAAAAGTGACTGCTGATTCAAAATGGACATTGCTACAGAGTTCCTGCTTCATGGAAGAGTCTGCCAGACAGTCTGCAGGACACAGAGAAAAGTGACTGACAAACTGCCAATACAAGAAGACAGTTTAAAGTTTCCTACTTTGCTGAAGAGTCTGCTAGACACACTATGGCCTATGGGCTGAAGATGGAAGATTACAGAAGAACTTCAGGTGACTGACAAGGCAAGATGTCTCTGGCATTTCTAGAGTTTGTATACTATCCTTCTGTGGTCTTTGAAGGAGTTGAAGACAGATAGTTATGGTTATAGTTTTCCTTAGTTAAGCTTAAAGACAAGATACATATAGGACTTTAGACTCACAAACATAGGATAGATGATAGAATAGTTTCTTTTAATCTTGCTAAATGTTAATAAACTAAATATTGTTAACTGTGATTCTTACTTGATAACTGTTGTGTTATATATTTTGCTGTGTTAAGGTTAAAACCCTTCTTTTTATTTAGACAGAAAAGAGGAGATGATGGGAGATGTCATTCTGTATATGTGTTTCTCATACTGGTTAATGAATAAAGCACCGTTGGCCAATAGGAAAGGAAGATAGGAGGGACTAGGAGACAAGGAGGAAAGAGAAAGGAGTAAGGAGGAGTCAACATGGAGAGTCTGGAGAGAGCTGGACGCCAGCCGGCTCTCTGATAAGACCACGTGGAAATACATAGATTAGCAGAAATGGGTTAATACTTAAGACAGAGCTAGCCAATAAGAAACTAGTACCTGGCCAAAAGCATTATATCAAATAAAGAGTCTCTGTGTGTTAATTGGGGCTGGCGCGGCAGCAGGACAAGACCGGTGGCGGGAGCAAAATCCTTACTCCTTACAGATAATAACCCCAAACCTGGGGGTTGTTTCTTCGAAGCAAATCAGAAAGCCTTTACTGCGTGCGTACTCAGCACATCCTGCTGACGTTTATGCAGATGGAATCAAAAGAACCAGCCCTTAGGGTTGGGGCACAGGTCGGTGGCTGAGCTTGCCTGGGATGTATGTGAGTTCCATGATGTGAGCAACATTCTGTCTATGCCATGGTGGGGAGGTGATGTGGGGTGTCCTTCTGGATGCTGGGAATATGTGTTGCTTTTATTGGTTGATGAATAAATAGAGCTGTTTCAGCCGATGGCTAAGCAGAGTAAAGCTAGGCAGGAAATCTGAACACAGAGACAAGAGACGGAGAGGGAGGAGGCAGGGTCAAAAGACACCATGTAGCCATAGGGGAGGCAAGATATCAGGGCATCATTGGTAAGCCACAGCCCCATGGTGATTGATACACAGATTAGTAGAAATGGGTTAATTTACAAGAGAGAGAGCTAGCCAGTAATAAGCCTAAGCCATTGGCCAAACAATTATATATTAAGTCTCAGGGTGGTTATCTTATAAGCAGCTGTGGAGCCAGGGTAGGTAGAGAGAAGCTGGTCCAACTACAGGGAAGAGCATCAGGCAGAGGGAAGCTCTGGAGGGGTGATGGCTACTGCATCCAAGTACAGTTTGACCCTCCATCTTGCAGATGCTGCTCCAGTAGCTGGGCTATGTCCTCACCCCTGCAAGGCCAAGGACAGGGCTATGAAATGTCGATGCTTCAGTGACATCAGAGAATTGTGCCATGCTGCCCCAGCCCTGGAGGTACAGAGGGATCACAGGCTGGGCTGCAGTAGGCCAGCTGTCCTGCCTGGCATGGGAGAGTGAGAAACGGGTTAGGTATAATATGTCGCAATACCATACGGCTGTTAAAGGCAACGAGGCAACCCTGTGTTGATACAGAACTATCTCCAAGATGCACAGAGAAGGGAAACAAAATGCAGGACGCACACACCACATTTTATAACTCAGAGAAATAAATCAAAACAACTTGGACTGGCTCAGCTGTTGAGAGCAGTGGCTGCTCTTCAGAGGTCCTGAGTTCAACTCCCAGCAACCACAGGTATAGCCTGACTTCTGTCAGAATATCTTTCCCTCCAGAGCTGTACTGCATACCTTGAGAATCCCTCAAGACTGCCTTGCAACTCTGAAAAGGTGTGTGTGTGAGAGAGAGAGAGAGAGAGAGAGAGGGGAGAGAGAGAGAGAGAGAGAGAGAGAGAGAGAGAGAGAGAGAGAGAGAGAGAGAGAGAGGAGAGAGAGAGAGGAGAGAGAGAGGAGAGAGAGAGAGAGAGAGAGAGAGAGAGAGAGAGAGAGAGAGAGAGAGAGAGAGAGAGAGAGAGAGAGAGAGAGAGAGAGAGAGAGAGAGAGAGAGAGAGAGAGAGAGAGAGAGAGAGAGAGAGAGAGAGAGAGAGAGAGAGAGAGAGAGAGGAGAGAGAGAGAGAGAGAGAGAGAGAGAGAGAGAGGAGAGAGAGAGAGAGAGAGAGAGAGAGA